ATATTATGAATTCTCACTTTTACGCTGAAGCTACTCCATGCTGTAGTAGCAAACTATGTCAGTGAAAGGCAGCAAGAGCCACTGGCATTTTTACCTAGGCTGTGTTATCACTTACCTAGCACATGCAGTCCTAGACACTGCTGGCTTCAGAACCACCTTGAACGTTGAGAGGAAGGAGCTGTGCCTAAATAAGTGTTTTGGTGGAACAGACACCAGAAGTGACTCCCCCAGAAGCATTTAACTTGCTTTTTTTTAAACACGTCATACAGTCTAAGTGCAGAGTCCGTCCTGGTAGGAGATCATGGCTGCTACCACTCCCAGCAGAAGACACAGCGTGGAGTTTGTGTGTTAGCCTTTTACTGTGGATGCAGAGCAGCACTCAGTAAGAGAGTTGAAGTCTTATGTACCACAAAATGACAGTATCACTGCACTTACTCTATTGGACACTCCACCAGCTTTGGTCCATACAATCATCCTGTGATGATACTGGGGACTGAGCTGAAGAACAGGAGAAAAGCCACAACTAGTTGTACAGCCAGAAAGTAAGAGCTCTACAGAGCTACCAGGTCAATCCATCATCCTCTCTTGCTTGGCAAAGAGGCAGTAGCTATAATGCAAAGGTGGGACAAGTGACTCAAGAAAATGGACACATATATTAGCCCAGGAATGGTCTTGCTTCCTACCTACTCACTTGTACCAGTGAGTTAGAAATCTAATTTAGGCTACTACTCAGTCTTGTACATACTATCCCTGGTTATTAACATCCTGTGTAAATACCTGTGTCACTAGGTTATGCTACCACATACAACAAAAACGCCTTTTTCTGCTGTTAAAATTTTTCATATTACATCTACAAAATCTTTTATATTCATACCATGCCTGTGAGACAGCTTACCACAAATGCAACTGCAACTCAGTCTATTACTCATAAAAAACATTTCAATTAATTATACTTCTGTAAATTTTAAATTAATGACTGTAAAGGCGGTTGAAGCTGACCTCTCTACAGCCAATATGCTAGCTAGATGATCAAAACTGTCCTGAACTATAGGCAAGAGGATAGAGTTTCCAACCTCCACTTAAGAGATGAACCATAGATCTTGTTTGTCCTTTAGTCCTGGGCATATTGCTTAATATTCCACAGCCATCAGATACAATGAAGCAACCAGCCAGCTCAGTCATGGTGAGAGTCTCTCCTTCCTGTCCTGCTTTGGACAGAATTATTTTTCTGAGAAAGGACTTGGTCCCCATAGAGCAAACATATGAAATAACCACAGGGGTGCCATGTTTTCTTTTGCTTTTCTCTTTCTCTAAAGAATTAGTAATCCAAAATAAAAGCATGCCAATAAATTAGGAAATGCAAACACATGCTATAACTAAATAGCCTGCTGTCAAAACTAACTACAAAGAATGCAAGTAATTGTTTGGCTCCCCAGCTGGGCCTGATTCTGAGTTGGGATCTCAGATTTGTTTTGGCTTTTAACAAATCAGCATTGGTAGGACAGTTGCATGCAACATGTTTCCTATAGAGCTAAATTAATACATCACATGTAAGATTTGTCCCACCTGCCTCTTCGGAGACAGAATGAAGGTCCTGCCTATGAAAGTCAAAGAGAAAACCTAATGTGATCTCACATGACACAAACCCTTGTAAAAATGGAAATAAGAACTCTTCATTCAGAACCACATGAATGTGATAAAGCAAAATGGAGGGGATAAGAGGGGAATTCAAATCTTTTTAATAAAAGAGCAGATGAAACAAACAAACTCCCAGCTCTTCATGGGTTGTGGGTTTTTTTCCTTCCCTGCAAGGCAATTAAGCTACTTACTAATAGCTTCTTAGACGTATCCAGACAAATTCACATATAACTGACAAACTTCAGCCTAACTTTTTCCTAGCTACTTAGCAAACATGTAGGTTAAAATGGGGATGAGAAATGACTGTTATTTACTACTATTTTATTATTAATCCCAAATGAGAAAAGAGTTTATCGGCAGCCATCTGGAGCAATGTATTTTTCCCACAGCACTGCTGATGTTGCTTTTTTCTATTCTTAGCTCAACATAGGCATAGATGATAGTGAGGGATCTTACTGTGCGCAAGCAGAAAGCCATGGTTAATTTATCCCACAGAGGAAATCATGCTGTGCTCTCAGACAGCTCCAGACATGGATCCTGTCTCAGACTGAGAAACCAAAAACTCTCAACTCTCAGTGACTGCTGTGGCACAGACCATTCCTGAAAGCAAAACTTACAGTAGTTGCAATGAAACAGATTTACTTCTTTCATAACAAGTTTAAGGATTCAATTTTTCTCACCAAACCTTCTTCTTGTTAAAATAATACACCCATGGCCCACTTCTCTGCCAGATCCAGAGAGAAAAGCATCATCTTCAGCCTCTGGATTAAGCACAGGCACTTTCTTCTACAGATAATTTATTTTTAACTCTTCAACTTAAAACAACACTGCTGTTCCATGAGGTCTGATTCCCAGAGTGCTACATCATGGATACATATACCACAGCTTCCAAAGATCATTACTTAAACTGTGTGGATAATGGCCCCAGAAGCCTGCATTATTAAACAATAAATATGCATGTTTCAAAATAATTCTCAATCCACTGCTAGACCACCAGGGGAAGAACATTTCTAAAACATGCAGTAGTCCAGCTCTCATGATTTGCTAGAGCCAAAGAAAACTCTGATCTTAACAACCAGAAAACAAACTTCACTGAGGTCCTTCTGAACCAATAGGCTGCAGGGCTCCCTTGGGTCCTGTCTCAGGTTTTCTTGTCTCAACAATAATGGCATGGAAAAACAACATCCAGCTAGGCAGTGGTGCAGGGAACTGTGCTCAGGGGGAGTGTGTAGCTGCATCTGGTAGAAGGAGAGTCAAACACTTTCAAATAAACAGGGGAGGTCTATTGACCTATTTCATGTAGTGTTAGTGTGAGTGGCAATTCTTCCAGTGCAACAGAAAAAAACCCTTCAAAGACTTTTCCTGAATTAAATTTTACTCCTACCCTATGTGATCTCCTAGCCCACATGATGGATTTCAACAAACATTTTAGGTCTAGAGCAGAACCTCTTATTCAGCAGCTTACAATTTCACACCTTTTCTTTCAGAACTACCTACATTTTGTGTCCTACTGGGAGGAGGACACAAAGTATCCTTTGTGTAACAAACAGGAGTATCTGTTTAAAACTGGCCTTGGCTTCAGAAGGACATATGGAGGAAGGTAATGTGAAAGACTGCAAGTGGATCAATTAAATTCCTGGGTAGATACTATTATCTTGATTAAATTTGTCTTAATTTAGTGCATTTTACATGTGATATGAAAGTATAAAATTTTAAGTAATTCACCTTACTAGTTTATTCAACTTCATTCACCTTCAATTCACCTTCAATTCCTCATCTATGTAAAACCTGAAAGGAGTTATATTTCCAAATAATTTAAAGGCCAGCACACTATGCCCAAAATAGACACAGATGTATGTTTTTTATATCACAGAACTGCATCAAACAGTCTCCAGAACACAGCATATACACTGTTGTCCCCAAGGCAGCACAGCTATGAATCTTCCTGTTCTACCCCATCTTTAAGGAAAATTATCAACTTTAGATCCTGAATCCTGCCATCTCAAAGGAAGCATATTATGTTTCCTGTCCCATGCACAGTGTACATACACAGGTGCTTTTTACCTCTCTACCTCATGTCATGGCCATGAGAATACATAGCAATGTTTTCTTCTCAACATTTGGAGAGACCATGAGCCACCTACACCACTTGATTTTGAAGGCAGCTTCCTGTTCCACAGAATTGGTGCCTTACAGAAGACATAATTAAAGAAGGTACAAAAATTTGGGGAACAGTCAGTTTGACCCCAAATTTGGCAGACTTTGTCTCAATGTGTATGATTTATATTGTCTGGTGAACTACCAGCAGCAGCATTACAACAGACCGTCAAAATGATGTTAGGTCATCTTTGAAATCCACAATGTAGTACTAGATCAATGTGACAGGAAGCCTCTAGATCTTGATTTTACGTCATTTTCAAATGCATCACCAAAGGCTGCTCAAAGAATAAAGACTTGCTAACATGCACTTTGTTCTATGTCCAGCCTTTTCAGCAGACTGTTCTTGTCCTTTTATGTTTGCCTTTTCCCCACCCCTTTTCTGATGGTTTTGCCTTTTAGTTTTGTCTCTAATTGGCTATTTATTATCTTTTCCAGAGAGAAATTCTTCTGGCTTTTTGATCAACATGTTTGCTGCAAGGGATGAACAGTGGGTTGCCAAAAAGAGTTTTCTTTATGGATTTATTAGCTCTAGAAGTGTGGAGTTTTTTATTAATATAGGAATACTATCCAGATGAAAACAGCTAGCAGATCCTATGGCTCCTAAAGTGCCAGGCATTAAACTAGAGGTAGATACTCAGATATTGTGGTTGGGTGTAGAATAACGTTGCTGGGAACTGACAACAAGTTATTGTTTAACACCTGGGTCTGAACATCCCCAAATGATGACATACTTTCAAGGTGAAGCTTTTATTCAGAGCCATCTCTCCAAGCATGTATTCACAGCCAGAAAAATGAGATGACAGCTTTACCTTCTTTAGTATACCTACTAAGCAAGTAAACTGCCTTTGCTTTTAAACATTCACAAAATATATAAAACTGAGGGAGAAAATCTGTCTTACTGAATTCAGTGCAAAAACTCTCCTTTGTCTTCTACAGTGCACGGGGAGAGAATGCTCTCAGATTATAAACATTTGTGCAGCATCTGCAATCCTCACCCTGGAAATGCCTCTTATGTATTCCTTGTAAAATATAGTTTGTACTGCAGAATACAAAGCATTCAAGACACCATTTTTCAAAATGCACTTTCTCTGGTCCTCATATTTAAAAGGACAGCCTTGAAAACACGAGCTCGTGTCAGCCAGAGAGACAGGCAGATGCCGTATGTCTGAGAAGGATGAACTGCAGTCTCCACCTCAGCAGACTGCCGACTGCAATCTAACATTGTTACCAAATGTCAGCATTATTGTATCCTTCCTGATGGTCATTTATGTGAGAACACCTGGCTCGTATGCCTCTTTCAGTCCCAGTTCTTTCTCTATGCGTCAGAAACCACCATTGTCATCTGATATTCCGAACATCTTCCCTGTTTTCCTGCTCTGCATGATCTCCTCTGCAACGTGATGGCTATGACTGCTCCATTGCGAAGGGAACTGAGAGGGCCCAAGTCCTTTGAACTCCCAAGTACCTCAGATATCAAAAATCAGTCACTCCAGATTTAACATCAGAACAAACAAATGACTTTGGGACATCTGCACCAGCTCCCACTCTCCAGTCTCATGCACCTCAGAGCATTCAGAGACATGGCAGCAGAAGTCTACAGGTTTTAAGGAAAAAGAGCAAAAAAAAATGTTAATAGTTCTTCAGTTTTTACAATTGATCTGCATGAGTGAGACTGAGAAACAGGACGAGTCAATAATGTAACTTGGGGCTTTCCTTTTTGTGGCAACAGGAAGAACTACAATATGAGAGCATGGCTCCTCATCCTGACTTGTTCTAGGACCAGTTATGCTTGTATGAGGAACTTATGCAGTGGGACTACCTGCAAAAACACAGCTGTCCTGGAAACCCACTTGTTCACAACCCCCTGAGGCACAGGCAACCTCCACAAAGTGCTTAGACTCATATTGCTGCTCAGTTGACTCCTCAATAAGAGTAAAATAAAAAATTTTAATACTCGGCTATTAAGGCAAATTATCACAGTTTACTCAAAGAAGGCCAAAGATGACAGAAAGGGAAAGGACCACTAAGAGCTTCATTAAAAATGTCATTGTACTCTTATTAAATGATTAAGTTAGAGCTGCCTACCAAACTTCAGCCTGTGGTAAATAACGTAGCAATCAAGGTTTCAACACTATTTACCCTTTTTTCCCTTTTCTTTTAAAATGCTTCTGGTTAATTTTGCACAAACAAGAAAAGAGGAGCAGCACAGCAAGGCAAGAATAACTTGTGAGTAAAACCAGATGAACACTAACATATTTACATAGTGTAATGACTTCACTATTAATTCAAACAAACCCAGATCCCAATTCTCAGAAGAGAGAGCTGAGCACATGCAATCCAGGAGGCAAGAACAGGGTGGCTTCAGACTGCATTTATGTCTGCAGCCCCTGAGTTAGTAGAGACTGCTCTTAGTTTCAGTCTGCAATAGTCACTGAGGGACCATCTTTCATTCCAGACATACTCCAACTACACCCTCTTCTCCATCTTATGGGGCCCTTTCCATTTTTAAGCAAGACTTACTTTAGTGGTAGTGACCATAACACAGAAGAAACAGAATGGTAGGATTTCAGGAAAAAAAAATGTAGAAAAAGCCACATAATGTCATTAAAAAGGAAAAAAAAAAAAGAGGGGGAAAAAATTTCAGACTCACTGTAGAGGACAGTCACTTCTTGATAAAGGCACCCAAAAAAACCCCAAAAACTTCAAAGCGGAATAATCTTATGCAATTTCTGAATTAAGCCAAAATGGACCTTGTCCTATTCTAGTCATTGTCAGCATGCAATTACCTAGAATTCCGGCATTTAACAATGAATTAACTGTAAATCTGTTGTCCACCCTCAAAATAAGCTATTCTTCAGCTAAGATCTGTATTTATCCTCTTCACTGATATCTTTTCAACTTATGTTTTCAAGCACTCTTTTCTTGTCCGAAAATAATATTCTTTATGTGGAGTTATGGAATCTCTTCTTTGTTCCTAGACATCTTGGATGTTGGTCAACAAAAAGCCATTAAGAAGTTTAATCCTCTATGTTTGGCACTACATCAGACTGAGAGCAATTTCTTTGTAACAGCCTTCAGAATAAATATCCACTAAATGCGGGTTTTTTCCTTATACTGGTTACCCACACTTTATAGTGGGTGGCCCTTTCATTTATCCCATTACTGTATTTCCACTTCTAAAGCTAAGCCAGATGCAGCAACCTGATACTACTTTTCAGTTCACGCAACTTTATTGTAATGAAAACTTCCGTGTATATCTGATACTTGTTAGGAAAGCCAAAGAAACAGGAACCATGGTAATATTGCACCACCTTCTTGACAACTTTCATTCTGCATGAGTTGGAGTCTCATGCAGAATTAGCATGAGACTTCATGCTTCATTAGCAAGCATTTTTTGCGTTTTGATGCCTCAGAGTGCAAGCATAGAGTCAACCTGTATCTGAACTACTCTTGTCAGTGTTACTTGCACTATAACCTTGCCCAGAGGTTAGGTTAGGTGTTATACTTTCTTAAAATTCTACATGATCAGTTCTTTAATTGCTTGATAGCCTACCTAAGCAAGACCGACAAGGGCAGAAAAGATTTTAAGGATTTTGTTTAATTGGTTTTGTCTGCCTTTTCTTTTTTCTTTATTCCTTCCTTTAAACAAAAGGCAGTGGAGTTTAAATGGCTTGGCTATGACAAGGCTACATAAGAAGTACACAGTACACAGGTAATTTTCTTGAGCCCTCATCCATTTATCTATATGATATTTTTCTTTTTTTTTTCTGAATTTTTACCCTTCCTTTCAGATGTGCTAATTGTAATTGACTGTGTCTGTTACAATAATCTCCTCTACACAGGGATACAAACACAAATCAAGGTGGCCATATTTACCAGCAAAGTAGGAAAAAATGTAGTCCTACTTTCAAGAGATACCTGTGAAAGCATATTTTATATAAATAACTTGATTTCCTAAAGCATATTTTACAAACTTAGTCTATTCAACTACTGCCAAAAATTCTTAGAGCACAGGTATGTGCAGAGCACTCCTTAGACTTAATGCTGAAACCATACATTGACCATGGCTAAGTGATTATGGCAAAGGAAGATTTCCTTCCTTAGCTTTTCGGTACAGTGTTTGTTGGAAGATGTGAAGGAGATGAGATTTATTGTTTTCTCTATACTTCACATGACACTCCGGGGAAGAAAAAAAAAAGGAAAAAAAAAAGAAAATAAAGGAAATTTGAATTAGACAGATAAAATCATTTAGAACTAAGTCTTGGATAGTTCAACTAGCAGCAGTGGAGTTATTCAGATGATTTGTGATATTCATGTGTTTATGCTTCTGATAACATAATCACATCTTTTATAGTTTACTATAGTTTACTGCCTCTGTACAATCCTAAACATCCACTGGTCAGATTATGTGACTAATACATCTGTTCTAGAACAAGCAGCAGTCACAAGTATTGAGGCCATGTTACTGAGAACACAGCTGTGTTGGGCAGGGCACGTCTCCAGGATGAAGGACCACCGCCTCCCTAAGATCTTGCTTTATGGTGAACTTGCCACCGGCTGCCACATGAGAGGAGCCCTGAAGAAAAGATACAAGGACTCCCTGAAACAACATCTCAGCCTTGGCCATATTGATCAACATAACTGGTCTACTCTGGCCTCCAATCGGGAGGTCTGGAGACACACCATCTATAACGCTGCTGATGCCTTTGAGAACGCACGCAGATCACCATCGAGGAGAAAAGACAACGCAGAAAGAAACGTGTCTTGCAGAATATACCACCTAGGGAGTCTTTCTGCTGTGCCTTTTGCAACTGGACACGTCTATCTCGTATTGGCCTTTTTAGCCACCAGCATGCTTGTAACAAACGTGGGTAGAGCCTTTCCCAAATCTTCGTTCACGAAGACTAGCCATGGTGATGATGATGATAGTTTACTGTTCACAAAGCATGATTCATCTCAGGCAATGGATTATTTTCCTAGTCACAGGGCAAGTAGGCAGAAAAGCAGACTAGAATGATATGAATTAAAAGTACTTCATCACAGAAAACTAATGAAGTAACACTAGATGGTTTTCCTCAGTGATGAAAAGGGTATTTCCCAAGTCAACCAATTCCCTTTCAGTTTCCTGCTCTTCTAATTCTCCAGGAGACAAGACTATTCAGAATACTTCGCAGTAGAAACAGCGAGACAGCACATTTCCCTGGCAAGGTGCCCTTTGTGCCATGTCTTTAGCACTGGGCTCTGAAGAGCACTTTGGCTTGAAGATTTCTCTCCACCTGCACTGAAACAATAGTTATGTCTGTGGTGGTTACACACCTGCTCTGCTGAAAGAACTGCAAAACCCACCAGACAGCTCTTTGCATATCCAAGTGTCTAAATTCACCTGAGTGTTTGCATGTTTTGTGAAAACACACAGAGAAAAACCTGTGACAAACCAAACCAAACCAAACCAAACCAAACCAAACCAGACCAAAAAATAATCCCTTTCCCACAGACCACTCAGTCTCAAAAAAGGCACAATTCGCGTTGTCTTCAGAACTTTCTCCCATGTAGGAAAATCAGCCCATAAAGTAACTAAGTAACACTGTTTAAGTGTTAGTGTTTCCTAAATTTGATGCGTTTTCCTTGAAGCTAATTCAAAGCATCATGTGGGATAGGAGCAAACAGCACACTGCCTACTAAGAGAAGCTCTCTAAACTGAAGCACTGAGGTACAGCCTTGTTGCTACTTGCTGCCTCATTAATTCAGGAATTAACTTCCTGTGAGTCATGGAAAATGACCACCAGAATACAGTGGAGAGGGGTGAAACATCAGCTTTTCCATAATTTCTGAGGCCAGTCTCTTGCTGGCCTTCCTACATGCATAGGGAGGGAAGAGAGGAGAGACTACATGACCTTTCTAGTGCTTTGCTGCTACAACTTCACATTCTGACCCCTGTCCAGGGTAGAACTGCCCCTCCCTTGAAATGCTGAAATGCCATTTTCATTGGTATTAATTTTCCCTGGTATCAGTGGCACAGAGGCTATCAGCTTCTACTGCAGCCTGCTTTACAGGCGTTAGCGCTCCACACGCTGAGTGTGGCAAAGCCTAAAGGAAGGAGGAATGAGTCCCTCCACTCTCAATGCCTGCGGGAGAAGGCATTTCCCACTGTGGAAACTGCTGCTCTGAACACTCCCATGAAGGCCGCTTGAAAGCCTGGACTCTCTGAGGCCACACTAGAGTTACGCTGTTACAAATTAATCTACTTTGGACATACATAGGTATGGTGCATAGCAAACACTGGTTTTATTCCTGAAAAGCCATAATCGATCGTTTGGGTGAACTCTTCTCACTGTAATCAGTAAAACCTCATTTAAACATAACACTTCAGGACATGGACTGAAGGCAAGACAGTGCTCTACCTTAAAGGGTTAACAGCTAGGAGATATGTATATTGCAGAGAGGTAAGATTTGTCATAAAGGAAAAACATATATTTACATCAGTATAATTAAAATGATCAGTCAAAATTCTTGGTTTGAGGGTGTCAGGCTATCTTGAGCTGCAACAATAAGGTATATGAATTGCTTAATACTTCGCTCAAGTTTTAGATAACACATAGTGTATTTACAAAGATT